GGTACATTTAAATGTACTCTACGTCAAATCCACTCTAAGAACAAGCCATTTACACTATACACAAGAATAATAGTAATTTTTAGTGTGAAAATAAAATATGAGGAAGTGATGCTGTTAACTACCTGGTTAACATAAACAATCAACAAGTAGTCTCAGTCTTGACATCCTAAAAAAATACATAATTTTCCAAAACCTCAGTAGTAAAATACAATATCACTAGAGTCATGAAACTAATCATTGAAACTCGAGTAAGCTATTGACAAGTCCTCCATAGCCTAGATATTTAAAATTAATTGATAATCCTTTTAAATGTGTAGGATATATAAACTCTTTTATTCGAATCTTTATGTTTTAAATCGTCATTTGTTGGCCATGGAACTAAAGGTGATTGATAAACACAAATCAAATGAACAGCTTAAAGACTTAATTTTCAGAAAGCACATTTTACACGCACAGGCTTCATTTGCGTGCATATTCAATGAGATTTACTAATCTACATCACAATCCCTATTGATATCTTCCTTATATTGATCGAAAAAAATGTCAGGCATTCGATTGTATTGAAAACTTTGCATTTCAAGCTGACTAGTTTTATTTTCTCACAACTAGGTGATCAATGTGGCACTATGCTGGTTACTCACGGACACTTTCTGACGATCTCCACTTCACTGTCAGTACAGTAGATAATATTCCAGGAAAGCGGCTGCTTACGAAAATTAGTCCAAAGTTTGTACGAATTTTATTTTTAAACTCTTGTTACCCTGGAAACAATTATGTACCTAGATAAAAAATAAGGTTTATCAACCACTAATAATCTTCATTGCTATTGGTTAAAAAACTAAACCATAAAATGTCATTTCAATTGATTTAGGTTCAACTATTTTAAAAGGCTGACTTAGCGTTGTGTCTAATTAACACTTGGTTTTGCATTTACATAATTACCACACGACTACCTTTAATTTGAATCTTCTTTGTGACAGTTTAAGCAGCTTGTAAAATATTGAATAAAATATCTTGGTTATTTACAGTGATACATTGTAAAATACTAGGTTTTTTAGGGTAAAATTTATTTAACGAATGGACTTTTGAATATAATTTTTTTAATTATCCGTAGCTGGATTATTTTGTCGCGCCTTCAGACATCAACGAGCAACAAACTAACTATTCCTGCAATGCAAATGTTATAGAAACAAATTGTAGGCATTAGTATATTAGTATTCTTACTAACATTGCCAGCCCTTGTTGCCATTTATGAATACAGTATCAATAATTATTTATTTATATTTTTCAATACAATTTCATAACATGTTTCAAACGCACTCAGTTCATATTCAAGAGCTTAAAATCTTAAAATTGCATTTCTCAATCGTTGCCTATTTTTTAATGATTTTAGTGGCGTGTTATGTTGGACTATGTCTAGTTTTAGGTATAAATTGTTCTACATTTATATTATTTTACCTTTTTATAATCCCAAGTTATGATTTGATTTAAAAATCTGCAAATATATTGTGAAATGAAGAGAAATGAAAAATTCTGTATTCATACAGGCAAAGTTAGGGCCACATGACCCTATCTTACACATAACCTGTGGATAAAAATTAAACCTATAGTGTACAATATATCCTACAATCTATTTACAATACTTAATGGAGAGAAAAAAATAATAAATAATAATCGTGCGATAATGCATTTGACTTTTCAGAACTTTTATAAAAAATAGTTTCAAACGTTGAAGTGTGTGTGTAAACATAAAGTTGCTTCTGTTTTCTATCTGTCGAAGTTTTGCATGGAATTAAAGTAACAAATTATACACATTTGCTTCTTACAGTACATTTTTGTTGTCATAATGGTATATAGATTTTCCTTGTCGGTCGCCTATTGGGTAATTGATACATACATACACATACATATTGGATAATTGTATAAACCTGTGGGGTATATTGATTCCAGACCAAAAAACATGATCTTGTCTCTCAACTTTTGGAAGAATTTCTATGGAGAAATAATTCTTACCGTTGTTTTCGAGGTAAGATCAAGCCTCTGGAGCTTTTTGTTTTAGGGTCCTGAAAAATATTTTCAATGTGTTCGCGATACAGCCTGATCCTACCATAGGTAGTAGAAGATTCTTAATTTATTAACTTTACAAAAGAAAGATAAAAACATATACCTAAGCTTCAGATGCTGGGAAGTTAACCAGAGAATCTGTTTTAACTGCTCTTCAGCTTTAAGTTTGTTATGAGGAGGTTTTCCCGTAAAAACCGTAATAGAATTTACCATTTGACTTATTTAAAGGGGGAGGGGTTAAAGGGTAATAAGGACACAACTGTTTCTGTTGTACAGGTAAAAAGTATACTTTCCAAACCCCATTTAACTATTTTACTCCTATCATATCGGTTCGTTGAAAAATTATATCCAATAACAAATGTAGAGTTTAATTAAGTCTCTGGTAGTTTGCTCAACTTTGATATAATCAACTTTTACAACAAAGTAATTAATATAACATGTACCTTATGCAAATTCATAATGAACTTAAAATTCATATTCAGCCATTCCAACAAACGTATTAAAAAGCTTTGTAAATCTGTATCTTTCCACTCCCACGACTCTAAACTGTTTAGAAAAGCAAAATTAAACGTATGACTTAGCGAGAATTCTGCTCAACCACCGCAATTTGACAACAATGACAGTAGTAATTATACGTCATTAGGCAGTGACTTCCGGTGCCGTCCAACCTACTTCCGGTCTGACCAATCTATGACGCATCTCAAACAATATTCACCTTGTGCTGGTTATGACTGAAAAGTGAAAAACGTAAATTTATTCATTTATTCACGGCAAAATTGCCATTTTTACAATCAATGCATGCATAACAATTTGTGGATTAATAATACTTTAATACTTTTCAATGAAATGGCGACCATACAAAGTAGGTATTTTGCCAAGTATGAGTGGTGCGATCTTGTAGTCTTGTTAGTGACTAAGGCCGACATAATCCTTAGACACAGCTGTTAATTAATAGCCTATACAGTCAACCATAGCACAAATTAGTACTATAGCCTATGGCAACTAAGGGTACAGTATATAGTGAAATCCTTACCACATTTTTGCCTTGGTAATATCGAATTAGTCTAATTATCAGGATATTACTGCGGATAGTCGAAGTACTCACTACTGTGGATGTTAATCCACACCAGGGAGTATCGCATCCACATTGCATACCTATAAATATCCACAATACTATTAACATGCTGTGAGTTTTACATCGTGCTTTATGGTCATGCTTTATGAATACATGCTAACACTGATGACTTGCACCTGAATTATGAAAAAAATATGTACTGTGAACATTACATACAACATTGGCAAACAAGACAAACAAGCAATATGGTCTTGAAATTGAAGTAACATTTATCAGCCTGCTTCGCTAAATACAGGATCGAAAAGAAAAACATCAAAATTTGAAAATTTTACAGTGAACAAATAAAAACAAAACAATAAAAAATTATTAACATTAGAGTTTGACAATAATTGTGACCAAAGTGCTATAAAATAAATATATTATAAACTTTAAATTACAGTGGGTTTTAATTTTCTTACTTTTATCGATGAATACGACATCTATGATATTATATCTTAGACTATGGAATTGACCTAGACATTCCATAGTCTTTTTTAATGTTTAATTTGTAGTGAATGAAACAACGAACATAAATGGTTTCAGCAACGTCCAGATACAGATTACTCTGAAGTATTTCTACCGTCTTGTTAACGAAGCCAAACTCAAAGGAAAAAATTTAGGTCCTAAACTGTGACATCTGTTGTGTCACATAAATATCACAAAAAATATGCGATCGAATTGTTGATATAGATTAAAAATTTAGATACGAATTTTTGATATTATCACACTAAATAAGCGGCTCATTAAACAAGGATCTTTTGTAACAAAAAATCGCCTACAACTTGTCCATGTAGATGAGACGTCTACATCCATAATAATTATTCAAAGGCTACATTCTAAAAATGTAGCCACTATATTCTACACAACTGATTCAACCATTGCGTTTTAAGGTCCATAATGTACCACATACTATTATAATTGTCTGATATTTTACTCATAAACAATGTATCTAATTTTACACTTCCTACTTTTTAGTGTGCGTTATATCACGTTAATTGTCTAGACTTAACTTCCAAATAAGTTTTTCTAATCAACATGTTTGACGATGCTTTTTCATTTGACTGGGTAGTCAAATCTGAAGGTCGCTGGTTCGATTCTAAATAAATCCAAATAAATTCTAATTAAATCTTATCTCGATCCGGATAGCATGTCATTGTAGTTCTTTACAAAACTGATCCTTTACAAAATAAACTAACAAATGTGCAGGATTAAGTAAAACGACACAAATAAAAAGTAATAATTTGAAACATTTGTGATTTTGTTATTTATTTGAGTAAATAATGTGCACATAAACTATTGTGGATGTTAAATGGTTAGTTCATTTGTGTGGTATGGACTTTTAAGTAAGCTGTATGATTTATTTTAACACGATTTCTTAAAATTACAAATATATGATAAAAAATAGTACCGTTACACAAATAAGGGATACAATATTGCTTTAGAATTAAATATATGTTATATTAATAGCTTTCAGTATACTCATCTTCATAGCTCAGGATAGAATTTTAAATTAAAAACGCTGATTATCATCTACACAACAATTTAATAAAACTCCCAACTTCCGCAGGGCATAATAATAGTTTATTATTAGGTAAACCAACTTATTTATGCATCATATTACAACAGATTATCTCATAATAGCCTGCAATGAGACAGGTAACCACTCGTAAAGGAGAGTGAGTTTACTATTAAAAGCAGATTACATAGGTTACATGCATTACTATTGTTACAAACAGTAATGACAGGGTAAGTAGCATTTCCAGTTCTGGGGGAGTTTTCTTGGCACGATGCTTGGTAGTTGTACTTCCACACTATCGCCGACCTCCAGAAGTCATGTACACCCTCATCCTCCACTCCTGGTTACTACTTGTCACATGGTTAGCTCTCGCAAATTATTCGGAAGCGGTAAGATTTTAAATGTGTTTTTTGGTTCTTAAAATCACTTCAATAAAGAGTTTGTTATTCATTAGTGTGTCATAAATTTCTAGGCTACAATTTTCTTATGAAAAATGTACAAGAATGTTGGAAACTAAAGGTATTTACAGTTTTTGAATCGATTAATTGATTCCAATTGGTTTTAATTTTAAAAGCTCATGTGTGTATGCGGGAGGTTGAAAAGGTTTGTAATTACTGTATTATTTGTTAATTTAAAATGGTTACTGATCATGATATTTTAAATATGTTGTTCGGATTCCACTATAAACTGTAGGTCCCTTAGTTTCCATTTGCTGTATAGGCTTAATTAACAGCTGTGTCTAAAGAATATGTCGGTCTTGGTCACTAACAAGACTACAAAATCGCAAACTCATCTTGCACTCATCTCTTGGCTTAAAATACCTACTTTGTATGGTCGCCATTTAAATGAAAAGTATTAAAGTATTAACAATAAAAGACTTTTCTACCTATTGTTTTTATGTAAATTAATTACAAAACATATATATGAACAAAAAAGTATTCACATGTTAAAATATTTGCTTAAAAGGCTGAGTTTCGTTTAGTTTGGATGTTTAAGATAAGTGGTTTATGCTATTACAAAAATATATATCTATAAAAACAAATGTTGACAGCTAATTTTATAACGTTCCAGGCTATGTCTATGCAGGCATTTAAACAAGCCAAAACCATGATGGAGGGTGTATGCCAGCCTAGAACCGGCGTTGACAAAGGTAAGGTTTTATATTACTTACAACTATTAATTACATTCTGATACGATTTCTTGAAATTTTATTAATTAAATTAAATTTTGTGCACTATTTTTGTTTTTACTTCATGATGCATTGGCTCATTGTTAAGTAGTAGTATAGTTGGTGGTATTTATTGTTTCTCTATACAGAATGTTTCCAAATTGTCTGGACATATTTTGTGGACTTGTTCGTTAGGCTATGAAAAAACATTAAATGCCATATAAGCATGGGTCTAAACATCCTAGATTTCTCTATATCAGCCTGTTTGTGATTTTGAAGAACTATGTTATATCTTTGGCATTTTTCAAAATAAAAATTTCAAAATTGGTATACATGCGTATTTTAGTAGGTAAAAAGAGCTTCAAAGTTTCTTCATTTGTTTCAGCGTTTCTCGCTCAACTGAAGAAAGGAGAATTCCCTGAAACTGACGATCGTAAACTAAAGGTAACCTTAATTTGTTTAAACCATAACTCATTGTCATATCCATAACTCTATATGTATTACGTGATATATATTTAGCTTAGAAACATTATACAATCTTCATTCAACACTTTTCTACATAATTACTTAGTAGTAATAAAAAAGGTATTTAAGTAATGGAATTGTATTAATCGAGTATTTTCGTTGTTTCAGTGTTACTTTGAATGTCTCTTGCGGATGGGCAATGCGGTGAGTATTACAATTCATTTGAACAAATTTAAAAATTAAATTTAAACATTTTAATTCACTTATTCCCTTAATAATTAAAATCCAGCTCTGATGACGTAAAACTACTTGTAGTACATGTAACCATTGAGCTGGGATACTGCAGTGGCTCATCGATAATTTTACCAGAGGTAAACAGTTTTTTTATGAAGAAAATAGTTTAATGTATATGGAAATTGCTCCAATTGGTTTTCTATTTGTTCTCTACAGCTGTTAATCCTGTGAATATTATTGGGTTTACATAAGGTTTTCTGTTCAGCTCACTATGATTCAAAAGTTGGTCGAACTAGTACGGATGAAATTATGTATAGAAATTCAACTTTTCCTGGTAATGTGAAATTCATTTGTTGTTTGCGCTGTGTAATTAAACATAAACATACCAGTTTGCATTTATTTGGTTTATTAAAATTGCCCTGTGATTTACTTACCAATTAGGTATTTCCAAGTATAATTCTATGAACTCAAAATATCATACATTAGCTGATTATGTGGTATTTTTTTCTGAGCACTGTCTCTCATTATGCTACTGCATAGTTCGTTGTTAATACTATTATTGTTGATGTTGATTGTTATTTTTGATTGTTGATTGTGTGTAGATGCAAGGTACCAAGGTGTCTGGAGACGCGTTACGCCGCATAGCCAGAACCATGGTGCCTAAACAACTCAAGAGTGTGGTGATGCCTGCTATAGAGACCTGCCAAAACATCGGTGAGTCGTACAAAGGCATGAAACTGTAGAATATGTTTGTAAACAATTAAAAAATCATGATGTTAGCAATTTATGATTCTTACCAACATCTAAATTTGGTGTTTGAAGTTTGTAGGAAACGTGCAATCCGACATGTATTTCAACACATTAATACTTTGACTATGACCACTAAAAGTGGGATTTTTAGAGGTTTTGTACCACAAATAGTGCTTAAGCAGTTTTTATTCATTAAAAAGTTAACAAATAAACAACAATAACTAAGTAAACAACCGAGATGTAAAAATTACAACGATAGTTACGTTATTATCCATGCGATTCGAGTTTGCCGTTTTTATTTCTTGTAATCTATTGAAATTAAATCAAAACAACAATTTCAACTGTGGTATCGTATCAGTTAACCTAAGTTATCATAGAGTCAATATTGGCATCTATTTAGTTTGCTATTTCTTGAACTGTGCATCTGTTTGGATAACATCTCAATGAAGCAACTAGAAACCGGGGGATTGCGCAGGTTTGCTGCGACTAGTAATTAACGATTTTAGTGTAGATAGATACGGATTTTACTTGGCCTCTTGATTACCAAAAATGTCCAAGCCAAACTTTAAATAATGAAATACTATATAATATTACAAAACAACAGATTACAGTAAACATGTCAAATTGGTTGGATGTTCATAATAAGAATGATAATAGTAAATTAAGTCTTACTTTTGAGTTAAATCCACATTACAAAAAATTACGAATAGTTTAAGATTATTAACATAAATAAAATATAAAAAATATAAAAATTTACTTTTTCCAGACGAAGGAGATGCTTGTGAATCAGCTTTTACGTTTGTCCGTTGTCACCACAAGGCTAGCGGACCTGAGGTAGGTTTAGTTTATGATTTATTATTATGAGGAGCAAAGATATGTATAAAATATCTTTTTGTTCATAAAATATATGCCTCGTGAATATATCAGCCTCTTAATCTTTAGTGGGTTGACTTAAAATGGCTTTTTACTGTATGTTTACTTATTACTTTCAAAATAAAGAACTAAAACAAATTATATGACCTAAATAATTTATCGTGAGCAAATCATTGGATACTTTATATCTTTAATTTCCAAAATGCATTGTTAACTTTTAAATTAAGACCCATATACTCTACATATATTTTCAAGTAGCATTGATATAATTTCTTTTGTTTCAGGGATTTATGTTTTCATAGGACCTCGAACACCCGCTTTCTTCAGCTTTAAACACTTGAGTAGAGCCAACAGATGTTATTTTGTACTATATCTATTGCACAAAAATAAATTCTTAGTTCCTTTATATGTAATTTCTCTTATACAATACAAAGTCCTATATCTAAAATAGAATGTCATGTCCTTGGAAAATAAAATTTATGAAATAGTAGTTATCATCACTAGGGGCGAAAGTGTCTCTTTTTGGTACGCAATCGTGTTTTAGCCGAGCTTGGAAATACGATTAAGTACCAAAAAGACACACGTGTGATGAAGAACTGTTTTTATCACACTATACTGTGGAAGTAACCTTCTAATCGTTACACAATTAGACCACATAATTTGAGATTATACAAAGTTGTCATCAATGTTTACGTTTCTGTTGTTTACAAACATAAATTTAAAAATCGTGTGATTAGCAGTGTTTTTATAATGCACTGATACAATTTTGAGGTTAGGGAACCGACAAACTTACCATAGGTTTTTCTGTTAAGTTCAGTAAAAATAAGCTAAAAATTCCTTAAACCTAAAAAAAATTAGCACAAGTGGGGAATTTGGTACAGATGTTGGGTGTAACTTCCTTTTCAACATACAAAAAGTCCCCTAAAATTGAAGCTGTGCTACGGCCATCATATTAAAAATTGGCGGAATATTTCTGTATTTTTTGCAATAGTGACTTTATTATTAGAGATACATGAAAAGTCTAAAAATACAAAATGTGGTCCATCTAAAAATACACATTTTTGCATTTATCATTTGTCATCATCGCTTAGAAACAAATGATAAGTACAAAAAATTGTATTTTTGGATGACCACATTTTGTATATTTAGATTTTTCATGTATCTCTAATAATAAAATCACTATAGCCAAAAATACAGAAATATGCCACCAATTTTAATATGGCGGCCGTAGCACAGCTTCAATTTTAGGGGACTTTTAGTATGTTCAAAAGTAAGGTACACCCAACATCTGTACCGAATTCCCCGCATGTGCTAATTTATTTGGTCAAAATATATTTTTATTGTACTAATTTGAAGTTACCCAAAAACGATGAAATTACTAACGATATAGAGGAGTAAAAACTGCTGCTTTGCGGACAGTATGATGAAAATTTATGTAGCGATCATCAGTCAGTGACACTCATTGAACAAGTGTTTTACATTTAAAGGTGCAAATTTCTTTATATCGCGACCAAATTCGAATAAAACGGTATAAAATATAAATTTGCTTTGTCTCCGGGCCTTTTGCGGAGGGGTGTCATCCCTTCCAGAACCGTGCTCAATAGCATGAACCAATTAAAAATAAATCCATCAGTTTTTTTTACGGACGTAATGACTCATTAACAGCAATTGAATGGCAATAAAGCCATAACAGATAGCCTAGATTGAGCATGACTAGTCCGCTTGCTCGGACAAAAGTGTGATTGAAGAATGACGAAGCACGGCGGTCGTTTCCGATTGTTATCAGATTATTATTGCCGGACAGTTGGTACACTTGGAACGTCTGACCAGTTGAATGATTGGTACCACTGCATCTGGTGTGATTTGATTGCTGATAAAACGTCAAAATAATGAAATACGTCATATTTTTGAACGCCGTTTTGGCGTTTTGTGCATTACAGGTAAGTTGTATGTGTATTTTTAATATATTCTAATATCTTTTATTGTTAAATAGCTTATTTGTTATGAAAACCCTTGATATTTACCAAAGTATGATGACTTAATTTATTAAGCTAAGTTAATGGCATAAGCGTCTGGTTTTACTCTATAACTAGTTTTAAGTTGCGTAATTGTATTGTTGTATTGAAAGTTCACACAACAAATTGTCGACTTTCTTGTATTTTCACTCAGATACTTCAGTTTGTTAAACATGTCAATAACTAAACATTGTATATATTAAACATAAAGTAAACAGAAAAGTGGTTTTGATAATTAGGGCACGATAAATCTTGTAAGCTCTCTTACTTTGATGGCAATTAATATATAATGAAGAACACTATTTATATCAACTTAAGAATGGATTTATAAGGACTTTATCTAAAATATAGTTTTGTCTAATATTTTAATACATTTTGTAGAATATAATTTCTTAATAACTTAAACCATATTGTTCTAATATTCAAACTAGTTTGAAAAAATACACTTTAGTTTGTTACGAACTCAATCCACACGTACATTGATACGTACACGCATAATATCTCCAATGTAAAAGTAAAGGAGCGTAACACAGTAGTTGTCTTTTGTTATCGTAATAACAGATAAAACAATTATCGTAGAAAGATGGCTTGTATTTTAGCAAACTTGGTTAAATTCCATTATTTAGTTGTACATTTTAGAATTTTATTCAACGTTAACCCCTATGTGTTCACGTTTGCATCAAATGAGTGTATTCATTGAGCCAATATAATGAATACTGGCCAATTATCAATGGGTAAAGATTTGTTTTAATTACAATAAATAAAAACTACTTTATGACTACAGACTCTTTGCAAAGGAGGCACCACTGTTAAAATGTTTCTAGATATCGTCTAGACATAGCTTAATATTTTATACTATTTTAACAGGTATTATCACAAGACATGAACATGAACACAACTCTAGTGATGAGTGGTGGAGCCAACAGCTCTATAGAGGGAACACCCTGTAGGGAGAGGATGAGGAACATGACGATGAAGTGCGCAAAGGACACTGGAGCAACTCAGGGTAAGTTGGCAAACCTGAAGACTTGAGATCGTTGTGAAGTTTCCTTCAAAGTGGCAAATGACATAACGAAATGCATTTTACAAAATAACAGTTTAAAACAGTTACATGCATGCACAAAGATTTACTGATTACAGCACGCAAAGTAGCGTATTGCTGAATTTACTTACTTTTGCTGCACTCATTTTGTTTTTGTCGCACTTATTTTTCCCGCACTCCAGTACAAAAGTATGCTTTTATTACGCACGTAATACGTGTACGCTTGAAAATAGGTTGGTAACAATAAAGATACTACGACTACGATAAGCTGGTACAGCGTTTCCCCTTTCGTTCAACGCTTGGATTTAACCTAACCTAAAACGTGTTGATTAGTGTTTGAATGACTATTTCTTTATGCGCTTTATGGTAACTTTATAGTAACGCTTTATTAGTAACACGAGCGCAAAGTGCTGCACTCGAGCACATTTCTATCATGTGCAGTAAAGTGCCACTTCGCACACTAGTTACACAAATAAATATTTCAGTGAATTGGTAAATAAATAAATCAAATTGAAAACATATTGGTAACCAATATAATCTTCAACGGTATAAAATCATTTTCGTACATTCAATCCCCCCTTGATATTTTCTCGGATTCCTCCCAACAATAGAGTATTTGGAGGGAATCAATTCCACCCATTTCCATATTCCCGCCAAAATCCCAGCTGATTGACCATTGTGTTGCAGACGACGTGGACATAGCCATGCGTATGGAGATCCCTACCACGGACACGGGGAAGGTAAGTGATCGTAGATGTGGAAAATCTACATGTATGTGAGGGGTGGTTCTAAATAGATAAAAAGTTGGAAAATATTCGAGGAAATGCTGCGGACAAATTTCTGAATTATTTCATCTAGTTTATGTTAGGTTAATGATAAAAAGTTATGTCATGACTTTTAAAGAGGTTTTGCAAACAGATACACCCAAAAAGCAAAATAAATATCTTTAAGGTTTTTTAGAAAAAAGTTAAGCCCTCATACCCAGTAACTTAAAAAAAACAGTATATAACAGTAAGTAACAGTAAAAGTATATAACTTTAAAATAGTGTGTAAGAAATGTGTGTGTGCAGTTAACTGTTATAGTAGTTACATTAGGGGAAGTTTAAAAGGGTAAACGTTATTACATATAAGGAGTATGTAGAAAAACATATGTCACAGTTTTAATCTGTGCTGAAAGTTTCTTATCATCTTAATTAAAAAATTTATATTTATAAATTTATAAATCAATTGGATGGCTATTAGAAATGCGTCGATCAATTATCATCAATTTAAAGGTATATTAGTACCTACAGCACCAACAGAACATTAGTATACTATTATTTATGGCAAAAACAATATTTAGTGAAATTACTACGTATATATGAAATCATATAAAATATTCTTTGAAATATAATACTGTATTTACATAGACCCCAAGTGCAAAAATGTTTTCGTATTTTTTAAACTGTTTGTTTTTTTTTACATAAACAAATTACGTTGTGCAAATATTTTTTCAAAAACCTAAAATATATTTTTTTAAATAACTTACACATTTAAGCACATTTAAAAAGAGTGATGAATTACTAGCAAAAATTTTCACAGATGAAAGGTAGCTCTATAGAAAAATTATGATACACATTGATATAGATTGATTTTATACTGTCAGATACACATATGATTAGACATCATAATCTTGCTTCATATTCATTTTGACCATTTATATTTGATCTGAACACAAAAGCAAATCTGTAACTCACCCACACAAGTAGTGAGTTATATGCACACACAGCTGCAGGGCCTCCCCCGATGATCGTTCCGTCTTGTATGTGCCAGCCCTGGACAAAGCTGACATCTCATATTTTATTCAAATGTCGAGGGGACTGAAAAAGAGTCAACTTGATCTCGTAGTCACTATATCTTTTTAAGATGTATCCATATTTTTATTCATTGTAGTAAGTTAAAATAAAATCATGTATTTTTTGTATCTTTGAACAAAAATTACGACCACACCATGTTATCATTACATTATGTATGTAAGCACATTTTTGGAAAAAGGGATTCAATCGGTAAAATTGTATCGTTTGGCAATAATGCATGTTTAAGCCATACTGTACAATTAACTATAATTGTTTAAACTCATAAAAAAAACACACGCACACTGAGAATTACTGAGAGTTACAAGAAATTGTACACACATGATCGTTGTTGTACAAGAGGCTAACATACTAATATTCAATCCGTTGCATTCGAAATTGAGTAGGGGGATAGAAATTAAGTATAAGTAATAATAAATAACTGTGTTAATTTATATCAGGAGGTGCAAGGTATAAAGTCCAATTAAAGATTTAGATTGCGACTATCCAGTGTCAACCAAGTGTAAAAGACAAGGAAAATAAAATGCTTTATCTTCATTCCAATGTTTAGTAACATATGATAATTTTACTCAGAACAAAAATTCTTATTCCATAGACAAAAATAATGAAATTTTAGCTCATTTTACTGACGTATGTTTCAGTGCCTTATCAAATGTCTTCTGAAAGGAAGAGGAATGGTAAGTGACTGTTGTTTACCAATAATGCATTATAATGGTTTCAGTACTGTAGGAAAAAACATGTCTGAAGCATGGACTTAAAGAAAGATTGGTAATTATCATGAGAATAAATAAAATACAAACCACCAACTATAATCAGCACTATGACGAAATAAACTAATTTTATTCCGTTTTATAATTATTGTTATGTAATTATTTGTTTAAAGTATTTAATTAATAACCAATGAAATTTGTTAATGAAAAAAATTATATTTTCCTTCCAGATATTACTTATGGGTCTAACACTTGATTTTCTTATTTTTTGTTTGTTTTTAAAAGCTGTTATTCAAACAAATTCACACATTCAGCTCTCACTTTAATCAAGTTGTTATGACAAATTATGACATACATCCATACCTCTAAAGTATAAAAACTATATTTGTCCTTACCTTCACAAAGTGTTCATGTAGTATTGTCATGAGCCATCAAAAGTCCTCGCCCTAAAACCCCCTCCCGTTTAAACGTTGGTATCGAATGTTCATACATAACATTTTGAAACGTTTGTTAATAGTTTGTTACTTAAATCACACGTTGAAAAAAATTACTATATTTGACTCTCAAAATGTTAAAGATGACTCCAGAGGGGGCGTTTGCCCCAAATACTACAGCAGAGTTCCTCACTATGGCTTACAGAAACGAAACTTTGAAAGAGGAGTTTAAGCAACTAGCAAACTACTGCTATGAGAAATGTAAGTTAAATATTCCGGAGTTAAAGGACACATGAAAGTTAAGAGGGAAATGATTAACTTTGTGGAAAGTATTTCTATTACTAGTCTATAAATTTTTTTTGCAGTTTTAGATTAAGGAATACAACAATATACAATATACAGTAGAAATGCTGACCAAACTCACAATTTTGTAAATACCGTATGATGCTTCCACATTTTACAGTATATGTGAATGTGCTGGCATTACGTTGAACATTTTATATGATTATGTATTTTATGTGGTTATTTGACAAAAAAGTATTGTTTCAGTAAAAATGCAACCGATGAGTAACTTGGATAGTTGTGAGTTCGCGTACGACATCGCCACATGTACGGAGGAATACCAGAAATCCGTGAGTAATACATATGTTTGGGCAAGGACATAGTCTAATGACTTCATCTTACATTCAAACCCATTGATATCTTGTGAGCAATAATAAATTGTCCTTCAACTATAATGTTAAATTATGATGTTCAATCAACTATTTCTCTTCCATATTAGTGTAGTAGTATTTTTATTATGACCAAAAAGAAATGCCTACAGTACAGAACAGTTTATCTTTGCTTTAAAGGCCTATGCGTTTTGGGGTTCTTAATGGATGGACCTACAGCTAAAAGTCGATAGGTTTTTTAAGCTAACCCTACTACTTTAACACTATTCGTGCTGTCGACATGTTTGAACATAAAAGTTGCATTTATTTCAATGTTAAGCAATTGCGGGAATTCCCGTCATCAGCACCCAACGTGTTAAAGTTACTATAAATACTACTACTGTGTCATACTCAGTGAGTTCATACGCGAATTTAACAACAAAGTATTACTATTAAGACAACAAATAAATTGAATGTTTAGTCACAAATAAGCCGTATTTGAATTAGTTTTTAACTTTTTAGTTAGTTGATTTCCTTGTATCGTTTGACTGCAACTTTATCACAAAATAATAATTTATTTTTTATTTCAATTAAACTTTCAGATAATTTTATAATATTGTAAATTTTTGTAGCTGAAACTAAATAAAATTAAAATTAATTAAAATTGTTTGAATTTGGTCTGATTATTAAAATAAATGTGTAAAAATTATTGATGTGTATATGTACAAATTATTTTAGATGTGTGTTTTATTGAAAAATATCGTTACAGCTGTTTTTACGGAATCCAGCGATGGCACCTCCTGTGAACGCCATCACAACACCATAGATCACCATAACAGGCTACTTGTCACCACAGGATGGGCTTCATGACAAATAGGCAACAAGGCTTCATGAGACAATTTTATGTTTATTCTTATATTACTTCTGTATGTACTTAGTTCGCTATTCAGTTGTAGGATATAAATATTTTGTAGATTTTATTTATTTTCAATAAAAACACATATATTCGTTAGAGCCCTGTAGTAATTCATATTTTACCAATACTTTACATAATTTTTATTTTATATTTTACATTTCACTAAAAACATGAGTCACTACTTAATGTTTTTTCCAAGAGAGGTTTCGAATTATTGTAAAGGTACGCATAATGTTCTTAGATAAATTACTAATTAATAACTATTTGACTAATAAACACCCTTGTTGCAGAAAACCTGCTCATAAATAAATTTTATTGAAGTTTATTGAATGTTTAAGCGGGGATTTCCAAATTTAAATTATACCCACTCAAAATATTATAAATAAAACATTATTGATAAGGATTATTTAAGTTTGCTGCAACATGAAATTAGCTTTGTGTTGTTTTTAATTACAAAAACCTACTATGAAATAAAGGGATTTACCAAAATGTCATCAAAATTTTACTTCGTCGCATTGTCAGTTTGCATTTCAACCAAGACAAAAATAAATGTCTAATCTAAAGTTGTGAAATCGTGTAATTACTTGTGCCATTTGGTCAAACATTTTAAGAAATGTTGCGAATATGTTTTTAAATACACTCAAAGCTATGCTAAGCCCCAACTACGACATTTAATCTACAAATCACAATCATACTTTCTTATCAGATTGTAACTGATAATGGATTGCTCCAAGTACACTCCGCTCCTCATTTTGGTTGCAGTCAGTGCTGTGATTGGTTTTACTATTAACCTTATGTCTAAAGGGTATCTTCAGGATTTAGAGAAGTTCTTAAACAGCTAATTTTGCCAAGAATATTTTTTTGCATAGACATTTTAAATGAGTTCGTACCAGAAAATTATTTCCAATATTACAAGTGTATAACATTTAAAAATTTTGTTTGAGTAAACATTATATTAGAGGTGGAAGATATAAATGTACAAGTGCAAACACGTTTTCACACAAGAGATTTAACTGTGTTCAACGATTAGTGGTTCGAAGAAAACTTTCTACAATGCCTTTGGATCTGTTTCCTATAGCAACGATGGAAGACTATTTGGTGAATTTTGTATTGGCTTTGTTGATCGTTACATTATTGTCCTTCCTGTACAATTTGGTATTTTCGTAGGGTTGAAATGCTGCATTAAATAAGATACTAATAAATAATATGAGTTTTTGTTTATAGTAAAACAGTTTATTTAAACCCTAAAGGGTTTCGTAAAACCTTTTTTTAACTTCCAAACCACAATTATTTGGAAAAATATTTTTGCTTCGTCGATTTCTCTTGGTAACTAATATTGTTGAGGTAAGTATGTTTGTAGAAAGTATAGCATAATATCTTACAACAAACTAAACATCAAATATTTGTGATAAGGATGCAAACATATTTTTAAAACAACAAAATATTAAAGTTAGTCGTAAAGTACATTATTCAATGGCCCTTTAAATTACAGTTCGTCAACACTGTGCATCATAACCTTTTATTATAAGCACGTATAAATGGAATAATCAGATAAAATCCCCACACAATTTGTCTGTCTTGCCATTCACCAGAAAAATTATTGTTTAAAAATATGAATAATACCAATACTGTTGAATCAATCTTTTATAATGTGATCTTAAAAATATTGTTTTGGTTGCAACAAAACACTTGCATAGAAATAATTTGTACAAAATGGAAAAATGCACCATGGACGTTTAAGCTTAGGCTGACAACATAATGTAACTTGTATTACATGTTGTACAGCGTTAGAAATAAAAATGTAAAGAAATGTAAGTTTTAATATTTTTAAACGATTTTTATTACGATGTACAGGCTGTTTAAGAACTCTCTATTAATTTTTTACGAATAATTTTCAGGTAAACGAATTCCAATAAAAAATATATAAAGCATCATATCGACTAACAATTAAATATCTCTTTTTTCATATACAGGGTGAGTCAGTGAAACGGGCTATTTTCTTATAACGTTAGTGAATAGAGGGGAAGAAGGAAAGGGGCCGAGTAAGTTACCCTGCGTTCCCAACCTCTGGAAGTTTAGTTGCCATACTTAGTTGCCATACCATCAGCAAAATATGCAAGATGGCCCAGAGCTAATTCACAGCCTATGGATGAGCGATGAGGCTCATTTTCACTTAACGGGATGTCAATAAGCAAATGTTTAATATTGGTCGGTCCACAAGCACTTCATGAATGGCCAGTTCACTCTAATAAAGCTACGGTTTGGTGTGTCGTTTCTTCCCTTGACATGAAATGGGGATATTGCCTGGCCCCCTTGATCCTCTGACCTCAGCTCCTGTTTTTTTTTGTGGCTTGACTAAAAGTTTAAGGAGTTGACTCTGATATTATTTTCAAGACTTGATGCTTGTTTTGTTGGTTCAACACAAACTTCCACTCAATTACTACGTTTTTTAATGAATAAATCGATCGTATGATGTTTGACCTTTTTTTAATACTTACCGAAAAATGGCCCGTTTCACTGACTCACCCTGTACTATTAAATATCTCCTGATCATTGAGTTTAAAGTGATGAAAATCACCCTTAATACTCTTTTCTGACGGGACTAATTTAGTACCCAAAAATTTGATCCAAACAAATTAAAAAGACAGTTTGGTGAGAAACTGTAAGCATGAAAGAATTATATTTTATGAAAGTAAAAATCATCAAAAAGTTCACAGAGTTTCAAAACACCAAAGTTGTCTCATTTGTACTATACGTTTATTGAACAGTTCGTCGGAAAAATTCCCTTCGATGTCTAACTGATAACAAACACTGAGATTATGAGATAAGACACCAATCTTGACAAGTTGTAGTGTTGAAGTATGGAGCAACATCCGTACCGCGTCATAATATCACTTATTGTTGTTTTGGTTTCTTTGTTTATCCTTGCATACAGACTTTGTCAGGAGATGGAGTATCCTATAGATTGGGGAACATGGACTGCGAAACGACCGATACTACCGGGTTATCAATAGATTAGTAGGGTATACGTGGACTGATGTAAATATACACACACTTGGTGAGTTGAAAATAAACTAACATGCATACGTGATGGTGAAAAATTGCATTTGCTCAGTACTTGTTTTCAATGTGAAAAAAGTTGAAATATTGAAAGTTTACCAACATTGCAACGTTAACATAACGCAGCATAATAAATGCATAATAAAATTATGACTGCAACTTAAAATGAATGATATATGCTTTTTATTATATATACAAATGACGAATGTGAATTTACATTAAATAGATAACGTAATATGTTTTGGAAGAGTATCCAAATTAATTTAACAATAGATACATTGAAGTCAAGTATACATTCAATTTTTTTTTTTTAACTTTTAAGAGTAACAAATAACTTATTTCAATTTCGGACTGAGGCCACTTTTCAGCCATGCCAACATGGAAGCGTAAGAACAAGCAATTGAGTATCTATGTTACCTATTTAATCTAGGGTTAATGGAATGGTTTACAGCCGATAAGGTATACTTTTACTTACTGCCGTGAAAATGTAATACATTGCATTTATTCTCTTATGTTTCCCTTATAAAGTTGTTGTTGGTAAATTTGTTTTTTGCTTGCTTCTTATTATAGCTTTTTAGAGCCAGTCGATTTTATTTGAACTACCCAAATTTTATCAAAAATATTTAATACTCCACGGAAGACACTCGTTTTGGTGTCTTGTTGCGGAAACCAAATAACATATATTTAAAAATTCATGAAGCTTTAGTAGTTTATACGGGGCTACAATTGAGCAAATAAATTAATTGTAAATAAGATTATATGTCAATAAAATCTCAAGAAAATGAATAACTACTCAGTTTGCACGTTTGTTTCTGTTGCAAAGAGTATAATTTTAAATATTAGCTGACCATAGCAAAGTTGTATATTTTTGTCTATAATTCCGAAGCTTGCATTATTCTTATCAAAAGACGTTATAAAATGGTGAGTCAACTCGATATATACAAAACTGCCTCGTATCAAGTTATAATCTTATGTTTACCGAGCTAGTTTACACTTCGTCCGATCCCCACCAAAAGGTAAGACTATTTTGTTGTCATCCCTTAAACTATTAACAATGGATGGGGAATACTTTTGCAATAATAAAACTACTTTTTATTTGAACTAAAACAATTAACAGTTTTTAACGAATAAATAAATGAGTAATGAGTAACAAATTTGTTATGAACAATAAAAATTTGAGCATGTATTTACTTTAATTAAAATAAGGTTTGTTTATTTTTATTTTTGAAACATTTCAAATTTTTGTATGGTTTGATTATAATATGATTTTATAAATTATTTTTATTTATATGTGATGATTATTAGGGTTCCTTTATGATTTATTGTGAATCTTCATTGGATCACAAAAACAACAACAATATTTAGGGTTGAATGCACATTCACTTTGAAAACTAAATGCGTATTTTACTGATCTTATTGAATGATTTATACCCAATCATTCAATAGTATATACTTATTTGAACCTAAGAGAACTTTGCACAGTATTAAACCAATTGTAAGGATTTCTTTTGTATATGTAGGCTAAACATTCCTAGATAGTCAGTCCCACGAAAAGTGTTTGATATTTCCTTGTAATGTAAAAAATAGATTTTAACTAACTAAACTGCTTATCTTACATGTATTGAAGCTATTATTTAAGCTAATTGTACTTTATTGAATAAAAGTTTGGCATAAATGCTTTAATCTCATTGACTTATTCCGTGTGGCTCCACTGGAAGTTAAAGCAAGTTAAATCTTCAAACCAACGACACTTAAAAGTATTTAAACGAATTATCCCATACAAAAAATATTCACTACAACGATATAACCTATTTTCGTTCACATGATGTATAGATATTTCTTCAACATGTCTCTTAAAGTTTCAGCATCCTCACTGAAGATGATTTTCTTCCTTCTGAAGATTGTAAGTGTGTTTGCGATGCTCGCAGCTGGACTCTGGTGGGTTCGCAGCTTCAATCCTCCCAAGTAAACAAAAATACTGTCATCATTCACGAGCTTCGCTGTTAACACCAACGAAATGTCTTGTTTTATACAAATA